GGATAACTTCTCTTCTTGGGTAGTCAATACTAGCTGCCAGGCAGCCTTTCAGTTCCATTTATGAAAGCATTCTTTGAATGCTTTCAAATGCCCTGTGGTAGGTCCTAGAAATTGTTTAAGACAGTTCCTGCCTTTGGGGAGCTCATCTTCTTCACCGGGTAGTTTGGTAGCTTTGGGTGAGCTTTTTATCATGTCTGCAACATTATCCACTTTGTTAATTAATATGGCATGTTTTTACTCTTCAGCTCACGTTCCTCTGATAGTGGATAAGAGCTGAGGTAATACAGCTTTGTTTTAATATAAGCATTTAAAAATCTAGTCTGGGAAGTAATTAAATTCCAGACTTACATTTTTGAAAAGAGAATCTTGTATTACTCAATGAATATGTCCTCAGTATTATGTAGGCATGTTATCATTGTAATACCTAAGAGTGTAGACTGAAGGTTAAAGCCTCTCCTATCCCCCACCTCCCTTCCTGAGGTCATGGCTGTGTGCGCACCATACTTCTCGCCTTTAAAAAATACATTCACTCCTGTATGTGTCCACACTCACAGATCTATACCTGCAGCTTTTTTTCTTTAACGTGAATGGTTCATACTCTTTATGTTATTTTTTGAGATAGGTCTCACGCTGTTGCCCAGGCTAGAGTGCAGAGGCGCAATCATGGTTCACTGCAGCCTCGATCTGCTGGGCTCAAATGATCTTCCAACCTTGCCCTCCCTCCTGAGTAGCTGCGACTACAGGCCACCACAATTGTTAAATTTTTTGTCCAGTTGGGGTCTCATTTTGTTGCCCAGACTGGTCTTGAACTTCTGGCCTCACAACATCCTCCTGCCTCAGCCTCCCAAAGTGCTGGAATTGCAGGCATGAGCCACTGTGCCCAACCTAATTATACTGTTTAACTTGCTTTTTTCATTTAACAGCAAGTCTTGAAAATGTTTCTTTATAAGTTCAGTAGGCTTACCTTCTGGCTGCATAAATATTTCATAAGGTGAATGTGCTGTGATTTATGTAACTATTCCTCTAACTGTGGGTGTTTAGGTTGCTGCTTTTTCTCTTACCCTTTTCACAGTCACAAATATGTATGCACACAGACAAGTATTTCTTTAGAGTATATTCCTAATAGGAGTTTGCTGGATCAGCAGGGGTGTGTGATAGAGACTGCCAGATCACCCTCCAAAAAGGCTTGAGCACTTCGCACTGTGGCCAGACCGCCTGTTTCCCCACACTCCAGCATCGCCGGACGTTAGGAATCTTTTAAATCTTCGTTATGCCTATAGAAGAGGCATCAGATTTGATGGTTGCCTGAGTTTCAGTCTCTTGAAATAGGGCCTTTGAAGCAACACGTGGAAACAGAAAGCATTCAAATAAAGTTTTTAGTAAACTTTATGGCATATGTAAATATTTGTCCGAGGTAGTTATTTAAAGCAAAGTACTTAAATTTAAAAAATACTTAATCCTTTATCTGCGGATTCTCTTTCTCCATTTTCTAATTTATTCCCTCCGGTATAGACTGTGGAGCGGGGGCTCCTTTAATTAGAGTTAATTAACTCTTCTCAGTTCTGTCCTGAAGCACATGCCTTTATGAATATGACCCCCACCCCCCACACTGCCCCTTCCCTGCAGCGGGATTCAAAACCTCTCATCTGAGGAGCATTCAGTTTTAATTAAATATGTGTGTGTGCACGTGTGTTCGTATTTTAAAACCCCAAAGTAAATCAGTCAACCTTCCTGGTGCATCTAAATATTTAATTTGATTTTCTTCCTTGTAGTTTCTGCCCACTTTCCTTTTTATTTTAAGATAAATATACTAATAATCTCGTTTCTTCCCCTGGGAGCTTTCTGCATTCTATACTGAGTAATTCTACCCACTTTTAACATTGTAAAGCCTATATCTGTTTTCTTACCAATCACAAGTTTGAGGATTGTTTTTATCTACTTGTTCCAATTAGATTTTCCCCTAGAATCCTTTACTATAAACCAATGAAAAAGTCCCCCGTGGCCATCAGACCTAAAGTAAAGCCTGGGCAGGGAAAAGAAGTAGGGGCGGGGTGTGGGGGAGGGGAGAGGAGGGGGAGGGAAAGGCCAGTTCTGCAGTCCTCCTCTGCCACCTGCCAGTGTCCTGGAAGAAACATGCTGAGAAGCGCATGCATTGTGGTGTTCTCCCTTTTGTTTTTCTGTTCAATAAGGAGTTTTCAGGTGTTTCTACAGCAGTGTTTACTTAGGTTATCTCTGACCAAAGTCACACTCAAAAAGCAGGCTGTGGAACTACTGGTTAGCAAACGCTTTCAGTAAACTGACTTTCAAAGGGAGGGAAGTGGAACTTCTTTAATGTAGAAATCTCCACTCATGGTCTCTGTGTCTGATCTTCTGCCATGGTTTGTTCCAAAACTCAGCTTGTCTTTCCAAATAGCCTAGACAGAACAAGTTTTTACAAGTGCACATTGAAAGTACATTGAGAGAAGCCCCAGAATGTGTATGGGGCTTCCTATCATGGAGGAAGTAAGGTCATTCTTAACAGAGTAATAATTGCCCACAATTGACTGGAAAAGTCTTTTTCTTCCCAAATTAGTGTTTTCTGTATACCATCTTCTCTCAATGGTTATATAGTTATTTGGAATTCCTGTTAACTTTTTTTTTTTTTAAGTGAAAGCAAGTTTATTAAGAAAGTAAAAGAATAAAAGAATGGCTACTCCATAGGCACAGCAGCCCTGTTAACTTTGAAACTTCAGAGTTTATAGCTATGAAAAGAAAGAAGAATGAAATGAGCAGATTGAGGAATTTGCTGAGGCTCACATAATTCACATGCACACTACAGTCCGTTTACACTTTACTTTTGAATTGTTAGAAGAGAAAAAAAGCTAACCTAAATCTTAATTTCATTCCGTTTGTCATGTGGAAGCTTGTCATTGAGAATACTTAATGGACAAGTTTCCTGAACAAACTGTGTAAATCAAGTATGGCCTGACACTCACCTGGAAGCCAGCAATTCTGAAATTGGAGTCCGGCTTAGAACTGAATCTTACGTGGCCTGCAGCAAGTCATTTCACATCTTACCTCCCTTTTTTGGCATCTATAAAGGATAAATACTTCTGTCTCAGGGATGTTGAAAGGATTAATTAGTTAGTCTATAAAGAACTTTGAAGATGAAAAGTACTTTAAAAGTGCTTCTTAATAACATTATTGCTTAGAAAAGAGTGCCACTTTTATGCTAACCACTTTATGTCTCAAATTATATAAAGAAGGTGTGTTTAGTACGTTACTACAAGTTGTAAACTAGAGATAAATTTCTCATGGTGTGAACATCAAACATTAGCTTCAGAATTTCAAAGAAGGATCACTTTGTCTGGGGGATCATTTAGGAGCTGTGTTCTCCTCAGTGATTAGTTACAAAGACCATATTTCAGGGAAAAGAAGACCCTTTCACACAGTTCAGCCTTTTTTTTTCTTCAGTCAGGTTTCTTAGCCCTCACTTTAACAGGCTGCGTTGAATGTGATTGGGGCAGGGAGGGCAGGAGACGGAGTATACTATTTTTGAGGAGGGAACAGAATAGAAGAGAACCATATTCTTTGTTTTGTTTTCTGTCTCATCTATCTCAGTCTTATCAGGGGAATAAGAATCTATTGCTTTAGCCATTTCTAGAAAAGTTAAAGTAACTGTTTAAACATACTGAAAATATATATCATTAGGCTTAATTCAGTTTATTTCCCTCTAAACCAAGTTAACAAAAAGGGCCAGTGTTCTAGTTTATAATAAAAAATTATTATAACATTCAGTGAAGTTTCATATAACGGGTACAAAATTCATACTTAACCTCTTTATTGGAAAGCAGAGGGGGGTTGTGTTAATTATACAGATAACAGTGAAGTGCAGGGCACAGCAGACTATAACAGAGACACAGATTATATAAAGAGAGCCTAGAAAAATTTGGGAAATGTGATCAAGAAATGAAACGAGGCCGGGCGCGGTGGCTCAAGCCTGTAATCCCAGCACTTTGGGAGGCCGAGACGGGCGGATCACGAGGTCAGGAGATCGAGACCATCCTGGCTAACAAGGTGAAACCCCATCTCTACTAAAAAATACAAAAAAATACTAGCCGGGCGAGGTGGCGGGCGCCTGTAGTCCCAGCTACTTGGGAGGCTGAGGCGGGAGAATGGCGTAAACCCAGGAGGCGGAGCTTGCAGTGGGGTGAGATCCGGCCACTGCACTCCAGCCTGGGCAACAGAGTGAGACTCCGTCTCAAAAAAAAAAAAAAAAGAAAAGAAATGAGATTTAAATTTGGGATAAAGTATGTCAGAAAGAGTAAGTCAAGTAAGAAACTAAAAGGAAAGATACCTGGAGAGATATCAGTGACTAGAGCTGAATCAGGTGGAATTACCCAAGTGTAATTGCTTTTGTTTTCTCTCATTGTCATCAGACGGATTCATATTTCAAGCTGTTCATGCTGTGGGATGATGGCTTGCAGTCTACTGAGTTAAGACTGAGTGAAGGAAAAATAAGAATTATCATAGCTCTTCTCTGTGACTTGACCTGGAGGACTTAATTTGTGCTCATTCCTTTGTAAAAGGTGGACGACTGGCTAAAATACTCACATACCGAATTTGTGTATTGTTTAAATATATCATTATATCATAAATGCCATTGACCATTATGGTCAATTACAGGCTTCAGAAGTAGATTGCTCTTTGCATTTGGTCTTCAGAAATATGATTGATTTTAGTAAGAAAAGTAGCAGGCATTGAAGTGTTTGATACTGCCACTTAAGATATTAAATTAGTGGGTGTTTTTGCCAGTCATTGTTTTACAGTCTGTCTCTGGAATATGAATAATGACTATTTGAGTGCACCTAATTCTTTCAATTTATTGTGTTAAGTGAATGATATTTTCATTTACATGTGTAAACATTTTTCTTCGCAATCAATTCTAATCAAAACTTGTTTCAAATAGTAAATTAAAACATAATTTTGATTAATGTGGCATTCTTTTAAATTTCCTGTAGCAAGACACTTGAAGATCGTTTGAAAATTGAAGCAAAAAATGGGACGTTGAGTGTATCCGATACCACTGTTGGCAGCAAACAATTGACATTCACATTAAAGAGGGTGAGTTATCTTTTATTGTTATTTTTTAATTCACAAAAGAATAATAGGCTTTCAATAGTATTTTGTGTGTGTGTCCTAAGACCAGCCTTCTCACACCTCTTCCCTATTGAGGAAGCTGTGTTCCCTGTTCTAGCGTTTTCTCTGCAACCAGAGCCCCTGGTGGGCCAAGAGCACAGTGTGTGACTACAGTAGAGCCAGGAGTGTCACTGGTGTCCCAAGGGAGACAGGGACTTAGTGGCCCTGGAGTTAGCTCAGTTGGAGATGAACCAGCTGTCTTGGTTTCTGGATCGCTCTGTGGCCTGAGGTGTGGCTTGTAAAGCAAAAGTCCCATCCTGACCCTCTAAGGATGTAGGGCTACCTCGCATGTATGTGGACTTTGAAGAAGACTGGGAATCGGTGAGTTCTGATACCTCGTGACAGTCACACCCAGCTTGCCCAGATACTATCATTTTAGAAGACAAACTACTCTGCCAGTGGTCGTCCTATTCTAAATTGATTTATAAGATCTATCTTTTTAGCCACTGGTAATAATGCCTGTCACACATTATAGGGAGAGTAAACTGCTTAAATATTTACTGTTAACTGAATCCAGTTGTATTTCTCAAAAAATTTTTTTCTCATTCGTAGTCAGTCCTCTTCAATATAGTCACCAAATAGAATGACAAAGATTTCATCCCTTTTTTTTTTTTTCCTAAGCAGTAGTAGGGAGATATAATTCACAGACCATATGCTCCTTCTAAAGTGTACAATTCAATGATTCTTAGTGTATTCACTGAGTTGGGCAACCATCACACTATGTAGTTCCAGAACATTTTCATCACCCCAGAAAGAAGCCCTATATCCTTTAGCATTTACCCCCATATTTTCATCCCCCAGCCCCTGGCAACCACTAATCTACTTCCTGTCTCTATAGCTTTGCCTGTTCTGGACATTTCATACAAATGGAATCATTCAATGTGAAGTCTTTCGTAACTGGCTTCTTCACTGAGCATAATGTTTTCAAGGTTTATTCATTCAATGGTGTAACTTTGCATCGGAATTGCATTTCTTTTTATGGCTGAATAATATACCATTGTATGTATATAACACATTTTGCTATTCATTCTTTTTTAAGGGACACTGGGTTGTGTTCTTTTGGGGGAAGTGATTAATAATCTGCTATGAAAATGAATGTGTAAATTTTTTCATGAACATGTGTTTTCATTTATCTTGGGTCTTTACCTAGGAGCGGAATTGCTGCGTCATACAGCGTAGCTATTTAACTTCTTAAGAAACCTGTCAGACAGTTTTCCAAAGTGGCTGCACCATTTTACATTCCCACCAAGCAGCATATAAGGGTTGCAGGTTTTCCACATCCACACCAAACCTGTTGCTGTCTGTCATCTTTATTATAGCCATGCTAGTGGGTATGAGTGGTGTGTTGTTTGATTTGCGGTCCCTAATGACTAATGAGTTGAGCATTTTATCATGTGCTTATTGGTCATTTGTGTATCATCTCTGGAGAACCACCTCATCACATCCTGTACCCATTCCTCTCTGATTTCTCTAAAATTTTCCCAACCTGCATCAGGAGGCTTGCCAAGTAATTAAAAAAACTTCATTATTCTAAGTGCAAAAAGCTTTTCAGTTAATTCTGTTTGCTGAGAGCAAATTTGCCCTCTTACATTTATCACTTATATCAGCCAAATACACATTTGGAGGGACCTCATTGTGCCTCTTCCTAATTTCTTATCAATTTTCTTTATACCTGGAAGCAATCCTTGATTCTCTCTGAAACTCAAATGATGTCAAATGGGGCAGGAGCAGCACAGCCTAGAAGGATCCTAGGTCTGCAGCGCGGCCACCTCAGCTCCTACAGAGGCCCCTCTGCTGGGTTGAGTGAGCACCTACTTTGCAGTAACCTGAAAATACAAACCTTTTCCCACTGTTTTCTAAATTGGAAGGAACTGAGTTGAAGATCAGTTTAAAATTTGTAGTAAAATGAAAATAAGATGGCTCTGAAATTATATTTTTGTTTATAAAAAAAGTATGAAGAATTGCTTAAATTCAGTTATGGCCTCATAACTGAATCAAGCAGAGGCTTTGAAACTGTTTTTGAGGAATGTGTCAATTAATGTTTGATGTGTTTGTTTCCTTACTTGATAAACATTTTAATTATTAAATCTCAGTTTTACTTGAGTTCAGGTTTTCAGTAAATTTTACTTATTCAGGCAGTTGTTCATAGAAGTCTCTATACTGCATGTTTGATACGCTCAGGTAGAATCTTGAGTTTTTCCCATATTTGCATATGTATCTCCTAAAATTTCAGTAAAATTTAAGAGGAAAAATCTATGCTTTAATGTCGTTTAAGATTGTATAGTGGTAAAACTGGGATTCAGCCACAAATCTAATTTTAAAATTTCATTTAGTACAGTTCCTCATCAAGTCTGAGGCTGTTGCTGATACAAGTGTGTCTGTCTGCATCTGTCCTTCTCCTCCCTCTGTGACAGGAGTGCTGGAGGCTATGGTGAACTAGTAGGGAAGAGGAGGCAGGAGCACCCGGGAGAAGCACTAATGGGCCCATAGATCCTCCTGGATCCCCCACATGGCAGCAAGGCCTTCCGATGCAGCCGTGGGAGAGAGGCTAGTCCTAGTCCTTTTTCTGCACTGAAATTTGTCTGCAGAACAATAACCACTGCTTACAAGCTCCTCTCCAAGCTCCTACCTTGATGGGGAAAGTCTGGCAGAGCTTCCCACCATGTGTTCCAGGAGATGTAAATAGTGACCCTGGAAGATTACTTTTGCTATCAGACTGATAAGGGAAAAAAACCTTGGACTGATGTCCATGTTGAAGACTCATGAAGGTGCCTTAACTTAGAAGCTCCAACACACCTTGTTTATCTGTATTTAGCACATCATTTTCCAAAATTATATGAAGAAACTTTTTTTTCTTTTCCTTTTTTTTTTTTTTTCTTTCTTTCTTTTTTTTGAGACAGAGTCTCGCTCTGTCTTCCAGGCTGGAGTGCAGTGGTGCGATCTCGGCTTGCTGCAAGCTCCACCTCCTGGGTTCACGCCATTCTCCTGCCTCAGCCTCCCAAGTAGCTGGCACTACAGGCCCCCACCACCACACCCAGCTAATGTTTTGTATTTTTAGTAAACACGAGGTTTCACCGTGTTAGCCAGGATGGTCTCGATCTCCTGACCTTGTGATCAGCCTGCCTCAGCCTCCCAAAGTGCTGGGATTACAGGCATGAGCCACCACGTCTGGCCTGAAGAAACCCTTTTTAAATAAATTCTGATTAACATGAAGAAGCAAAATATTGAATAACTGGTATTGGTTCACTTTACAGGGCTCCTGGTGATGTCATCACTCGCTCAGCTAGGGAGTGTTAGAAGGAGTTCTGAGGTTTCCATTAATGCATGTGTATTGATGCCTGCCCTGTGCTTCATGCTAGGGACAGACATGGCTCTTGCTACCACAGTTCTCAGTCTATGGGAGAGAGAGACAGCGGGTAAAAATTATATACCTCTAATTATGTCATTAGAACTGTGGCAAGTGCTTCAAAGGTGAGCAGAGGGCTGTGAGATTGTTTGGTAAAGGACCAAACTTTGCACAGTTTCAGTAAGCACAGGACTGAACTGACATAGTATTTCTATTTTTTTTTTTAAATCCTCCGGCTGTTGCATGGAGAGTTGCCTTAAGGGGTATTTGAGAGGAAGCAGAGCACAAGGAAGGCAACTCCGTGGTGGCCATGGTTAGGACGGGCAGCAGCCTGGGCTCGGGTGGTACCCTCCAAGACAGAGCACAGTGGAGGAGTTTGGGATAGGATCAGAATACACAGGATAGGATTTACTTTGAAAAGACAGTCGAAGAATGGTAATAATCAGAGAAGGGACTTAAAGAATTATTCAGAAACCCGGTTTAAGAGCTTCTTAGAATAGGAGAAATGCATCTTTTTTTTTTTTTTTTTGACATTACAAATTGCTTTCCTTCCCCACTATTCTCTCACTTTCAACTGTTTAATTTTAGAAGATTGGGTAATATCCACAAGAGGTGAATGTGGAGACTTTCTCCTCAAGGGTAACATACAGATGCATGTTTTGTGTTAGGTGTGTAGAAAATACAGATCCTGGCTGGGCGTGGTGGTGCGCGCCTGAAGTCCCAGCACTTTGGGAGGCCAAGGTGGGTGGATCACGAGGTCAAGAGATTGAGACCATCCTGGACAACACAGTGAAACCCCATCTCTACTAAAAATACAAAAAATATAGCTGGGCATGGTGGTGGGTGCCTATAGTCCCAGCTACTCGGGAGGCTGAGGCAGAGAATAGCGTAAACCCAGGAGGCGGGGCTTGCAGTGAGCAGAGATCGCGTCACTGCACTCCAGCCTGGGTGACTGAGGGAGGCTCGGTCTCAAAAAAAAAAAAAAAAAATCTAGCCAGGCGTGGTCACCTGTAATCCCAGCTACTCTGGAGGCTGAGGCGGGGGAATTGCTTGAATCGGGAGGCGGAGGTTGCAGTGAGCCGAGAGTGTGCCATTGCACTCCAGCCTGGCAACAGAGCGAGACTCCATCTCAAAAAAAGAAAAAGAAAATACAGATCCCAGTGAAGCAGGTTCCCTGGGTGTCCATAAGGCGATGCTTTTCCACTTTATCAACTGAGGCCCCTGACAGTGCTTTCTCAGTTTACCATCTGTGCAGTTCCACCACTAATAATTTTTTTTTTTTTTTTTTTGAGCTTTACATTCAGGAGTTTGTATTTTCAAAACCATTAAATGTGTTTTGTTTTGTTTTGTTTTTTGTTTTTTTGAGACGGAGTCTCGCTCTGTCGCCCGGGCTGGAGTGCCGTGGCCGGATCTCAGCTCACTGTAAGCTCCGCCTGCCGGGTTTACGCCATTCTCCTGCCTCAGCCTCCCGAGTAGCTGGGACTACAGGCGCCCGCCACCTCGCCCGGCTAGTTTTTTGTATTTTTCAGTAGAGACGGGGTTTCACTGTGTTAGCCAGGATGGTCTCGATCTCCTGACCTCGTGATCCACCCGTCTCGGCCTCCCAAAGTGCTGGGATTTTTTTGTGTAACTCTTACTTTGTTGTGGCTTCTGCATTGATAATTTTCTAAGGATTTCTGCTGAAAGTAGTTAAACCATTTGGTGCTGCGGATGGGTAGGGAGGAGTTCCAGCTCCCATGTGAGCCAATGAGCATTGAGAACAAAAGTGAGCACTTTTCCAGCAGTCAGCCCGGGAGTCCACATGCTTACTGCAGCTGTGAACTTGTGCGTTGTCTGCCTCGCTTTCATCAGTGATTAATGAGAGCAGTTTGCTGCTTTTAAGGAAGGAGAGGTGGAGTTTTGGGAAACAGCTAAAAATTCTTGGGAGCAAGTTCTATGAATGAGTGTTTTAATAATGTACTTTTAGTACATTTAAGTATTTTTTTCTTTTGTTTTTAAAAACAGTGGGAATAAACGAATGGCTCTAGTTTGTAAACAAAGATCTCTAAAAGGAAAGTGGACACTCTGTAAGTGATATCATCTTTAAGGTGGCTCTTTTGTAGGCTCTTTTAAAACAACACAGTGGTCATGTGAGTGTGTTGGTTGAAAAACCAGTCTCCTACTTTGTAGTAGGCTGGTCTATCAGGGCCCTTCTCTTGCCTGGGGTTCAGAATTTCTGCTTTTGCATTGATGGTGAAAGTTGGCCTTGGTGCTGCTGTTTCTGCCAGGGTAGCACTTATCAGAGCGGAGTCCAGGCAGCCCCACCAGGTCCCCTGGAGCCTGTGGGCAGCATTTCTCCTGGCAGCAGGTCTGAGATTGGTGGCAGTACTGTTGGCATCCTGACGGTTACCAGAAAAGAGGTATAGCATTTTCTGTGTTTCCCTCTACTCGTTTAATTTTCTCTTTTAGTCTGAACAGCAGAAGAAGCAACAGGAGGCTGAGAAACTGCATCGACAAGAAAGGAAAAGACTCCGTCGTTCAGCCGGACACCTGAAGTCAAGACGCAAAAGAGGACGGTCGTTTCATTGATTTGGGAAGTGATCCTACCTGTGATTAGGGAGGGGTACGTCTCCCCCAAACTGATCGTCATTAAGAGTGTTCAACACAGATAAGGGAACACACGTTTTTAAAGTTCCATGTACATTCTTGTACACAGAGGTAAAGATTTGAAAACCTGTGCTTTGTGGATTAGACTGTGAAGCTGGGCCCTGCCGATGGCCACCACATAGCCCAAGGGTGAGCTTGCAAGTCATTGCTCCCTGGAAATATTGTCCTTTCCCCATGGTTTTAATCATGTAAACCAGGTTGGGGTTTTTTAATATTGTGAAGTGTACACCATGAAATAAAAGGTTTATCCTGTGCTAGAAACCAAGATTTATCATGCTCTAGGAACTTTGTTCCTACACTGCCTACTGCCATTCATGATTAAACCATCCAGAAATACCATCTCTGTTTTACCTGGTGTCTGTGTATTGCCTGTGTTTGTGTTTATAAGTGTATGTTGATAGGTTTGTTTGGCTTGTTTATGTACTAGTTTGGGATTTGTTTTTAAATAATTTATACCAAGAGAGTATTATCTAATGGCGCAGGTTGAGAGCGTCCCAAATCCAAAAATCTAAAACTGTTTGAGCACTGTATTTATCTGTTCTTGCCCTGCTAGAAAGAACTACCTGAAACTGGGTAATTTATAAGTACAGAAAAAAGGTTTAATTGACTCACAGTTCTGCAGGTGGTACAGGAAGCATGGCTATGGAGGCCCCGGGAAGCTTACTATTGTGGCGGAAGGTGAAGCACAAGCAGGCATGTCCTACATGGCTAGAGCTGGGGGAAGAAGGCAAAGGGGGAGATGGTACACACTTTCAAACACCAGATCTCCAAGAACTCACTAGCACAGAATAACAAGGGGAAGGTCCGCCCTCATGATTCAGTCACCTCCCTCCAGGCCCCCCCTCCAGCACCGAAGATTGCAATTTGACATGAGATTTGTGTGGGGACACAGAGCAATACCATATCGAGCACTGACATGACATTGGAGGAAAATGCTCATTAGAGCTTTTCAGGTTTTGGATTTTCAGATTTGGGATACTCGACTAGTGAATATAATACAAATATTCCAAAACACAAAAAAAATCCAAAGTCTAAAAGACTTCTGCTCCCAAGCATTTCAGATAAGGGATACCCAACCTGTAATAATGGGAAACAAGCAGTGGAGGCTGCTGGTTGATCTTGGCACCAGTTTAATTACAGGTTGTTGTTTTTTTTCCTGTTTCTTACGTACAGTCAAACATAAACTTACTGGAGGAAACATGTATAAAAATAAATATACTTTCATTTGAATAGCTTCTTTAAGAAAGACTCCAAGAAAATTTTTTTTAGACAAACGGTGGTGTGCACTTTTTCCTCCTGTAGATAGTCCCAGCTACTGAGGAGGCTGAGGTGGGTAGCTTGAGCCTGAGAAGTCGAGGCTAGCCTGGGCGACAGATCAAGACCCGGGTCTCAAAAAAAGAAAAAAGAGAACCAACTTTGGTTTCCTTAGTTTTTCCAGAATTGATGTGATTTTGGAGGTGCCTTTATAGATTTTTAAGGGTCTTTATGTATAACTGAAATAGTAACTCTTTGGACTGTAAATGATACAGCCTAACTTCTAATGTCGTAAGCTGAGAGGCAGAATGCATTAATTGACATAACCATGCTTGGGACATGGAACTGGCCTCAGGAACACCTAGATCCAGGGCTCCACGTTCAGTCAGCTAGCACATGCATACTCTGTCTCTGTTTCCCTCTTTCTCTCTCCTTCCCCTACTCCCGCCTTCCTCCTGCTGTCTCACCATTGTTCCTTCTCTCTTCAGGCCTCCCCTATTCTTTTCCCAATATGTTTCCCTTCCCCTGCCTCTGCTATCTGTGCCGCTTCTGCTTCTGTGCAGATTGGCTTGTTCCCAAGGCAGGGAACAGTTTGGCCGTGTGTCCACTTCTGTGGTTGGAGAAATGAGGTCTGTTTCCAGAAAAAAGGTGTGTGGAGGGTGGGGTGTGTGTGTTCTTGTTCCTGGGGCAGCCAGCCCCATTCGTGCTTTGGTGCCAGGGAGTCCTCCAGCGGGTCCAACCGCTGGACCAGTGCTGTCCTTTCTCAGCTGCTTTCCCCTAAACTCTTGCTCAGTGTCCACCTCTTCTCAAAGGAAGGGGCTGCAGCTTCCTGTTGCCTTCTCTTCTGTTTCCACGCTGCCTCCCTTAGGGATGGGGGATTTTACAAATTTGGAGAGGGACACTTTGCTGGCTGGACTGTCCCCAGGGGTTGGGTGTTTATGCCCTTGGCCTGTTTCCTGAGGTCAGGCTCTGTCACATCTACTCCTGGCTTTCCAAGGCCCGTCTTTTCCTTCCTTCTTGGAGGGCCTCCTAGTTCTGTGGGGAGCCAGTATTCCGCAGGGCCAGATTCCACAGGCAGCAGTGCTCTGTTCAGCCAGTGCTCTCAGCACACCAGGAGATCAGGCCATCAGGGTAGAGTAGGAGGGCCAGGATCACTTCCAGGACCTGGGAGGCTGGCAGTGTAGTAGAAAGAGCTTGGATTTGGAACCACCCTGACACAGGGTCGAATTCCAGGTCTGTTGCCTACTAGTTCTGTGTCTTTTGACTGTTCCCTTAATCTCTGTGAATCTTATTTCCTCCTGTAGATCAGTCTAATACTTAGTTTTTATTAGGGTTACATTAGGTGCAGCAACTGGCACTGTGCAAGGCTCATGAGGAACTGACAAAGCTTTTTGACCACTGAGGGTTTTCAAGAGCAGGGGAGCTGCCTCCACTTTTGCTCTGGAGAGTTGCTGAAGGGCGGGGGGAGGGACTGCTGAGTCTGAGGGACACAGAAGGAGCGTCCGCTGACGACAGCTGCATGGGCACTCCTCCTAGGCCCCACCCGTCCCTCTCCTTGCCCGAGTTTTCCTACCGCTTCAGCCCTTAACACAGGCCTGCCTCTTCAGGGCTGATTCCCAAAGTGCCTGCTCTAATCCTTCATGTCTTCGAAGTTTCCTGTTTTCAAGTTTTATGCAGCTTTCATACTCTACTCCATAATTTTTCCGTATGTGTGATATACTGCTCACTGGCGCTAGGAAATGGCTGTTTCCCATGGGTCTCTATCCCAGGCACGTGCAGCTGGGGGTGTTCGTGAGCCAGCGCGAGAAGCGTTTCCTCGCAGACGGGGCTCTGAGGGCATGGCTTTTACGTCAGGACTGAGCTGGGGGGGGGGATCCTGGGCTGCCATTTCTCCCCTTCCCCTGCCCCAGATCCCCTCAGCCTCCAACACCCCAGACCTAAGGCCCAGGTTTGTTTGTTTTTTCCAAGTTGTGCTCAGCAGTTAGGGTAGTGGTGGCTTTGGAGAGAGGGGAACGTGGCTGGGACGCAGTGGGGGATCCTGGTTGGTCCTGTTCCCTCACCCGGTGGTGGCTTTTCCCACGGGTGCACTTTGACCACTCCTGGGCTGCTCACGACTCCTCTCTCTTTCTCTGTGCTTGTTATCCTTGAACAGAAAGTTTCATTGAAAAAGAATTGCTCATGTTAACCAGGATGGTCTCGATCTCCTGACCTCGTGATCCGCCCCCCTCGGCCTCCCAAAGGCTGGGATTACATGATGAATCCCCCGTCTCTACTAAAAATTAGCCGGGCGTGGTGACGGGCAGCAGTAGTCCCAGCTACTCAGGAGGTTGAGGCAGGAGAATGGCGTGAACCCGGGAGGCGGAGCTTGCAGTGAGCTGAGATCGCGCCACCGCACTCCAGCCTGGGCGACAGAGCGAGACTCTGTCTCAAAAACAAAAAAAGAAAAAGAAAAAGAATTACTTTATCAAAGGGACATGTTTCGTGGCTCCTCACAAAACTATTTCCATAGATAACTCATAACACTGTAAGGTTGTTTTTCAGATATTTTTCTGTTCTATAGACAATGATAGACATATCTGTTTCAATAATGCAAATGGGATCACACTACATATACTGTTCCTGAACTTGAAACTAACAATATAAGATATTTTCCCAGTTCTATACATATTAATATGTAGGGTGATCTACCTCATTCCTTTGTGTAGAGTATTTCATTACATGGCTGATGCATAATTTATTTAACTCTCTGTCTACGTATGGTTCAACCTAAAAATCTAAAGAAATAACCTTTTAAAATCTTTTTTCAAAAAGGTTTACATTCAAGGGGACACATGTGCTTGTTTGTGAGATGGGCATATTGCACACTGTGGGGAGTGGGCTTCTAATGCACCCGTTACCCAAATAGTGGACACTGCATCCAGTAGGCAGGTCCTCAACCCTCACCACCCTCCTAGCCTTTGGAGTTCCCTGTGTCTGTTTTCTCCTTTTTTTTTTTTTTTTTCTTTTCTTTTTTTTTTTTTTGTGAGACAGAGTCTCGTTCTGTCACCCAGGCTGGAATGCAGTGGCGCAGTCTCAACTCACTGCAACCTCAGCCTCCCGGGTTCAAGCGATTCTCCTGCCTCAGCCTCCTGAGTGGCAGGGACTACAGGCACCCACCACCACACCCGGCTAATTTTTGTATTTTAATAAAGACGAGGTTTCACTATGTTGACCAGAGTGGTCTCTAACTGTTGACCTCAGGCGATCCACCTGCCTCGGCCTCCAAAAGTGCTGGGACTACAGGTATGAGCCACCACGCCCGGCCAGTTATTTCCATCTCTATGACCACGTGTACCCATGAAAATCATTTCTGTAGTAAGTATAACCCAAGCTATTTTTTAAATGAATGTAGTAACTTTGCAAAACATTTGTATGTAGTAAAAAACAATGGAAATGTCATTTCAGTTACCATTTTCTTTCTTTTTCTTCATTATATGGGGCTTGATAGTTTTAACTCCAAGCAGTTAGAATAGAGTTTTAGCATCTTTTTTACTCATCATTTGTCAGAAGAGCAGAAACAAATACTTTATAACATTTTTGTTATAAAGTAGCAAAAACAGTCTTCATAACATTCTTTTAAGTACCATTTATGGTACAACGATTGAAATTATTAAAGTTCCTAGGAGATTTCTATGGATTTCCCATCTCTTGTGAATAACACCCTCAGTTATTCTTCAGCTACAGCAGAGGGTGGACTGCACGGGGCTGCGGCAGAAGCAGGAGACCGCTTGGGAAGCGCCATAGCGCCCTGGGTGGGTGATGGGGCTGGCACGGGGGTAACAAGGGTAGGGCCCCAGTAGGTTTTGCAGGTAGGATTGACAGGATGTGGAGGAGAGGAGCCAGGCATGGCTCTGACATAGTTGGCCTTAGCAATGGCAAAGATGGAGCTGTCCATGCCTGGTACCATAAAAACCACAGCAGAAATAAGTTTGGGGGTGAGGAGGTAATGAGGAATTCTGTTTTGACCAGAATTAGCTTATTTTATTATGTATATATTATTTATTTGGGGACAGGGTCTCGCTCTGTTGCCCAGGCTGGTGGGCAGT